GGGAAAAATGTGTTCAGCCCCCAAAAGCAGAAACTTCATGTGACCAACCCCCTTGTATTTTTTCCCATGTGGATAAGCCCCAAAAAGTAATGTTAAATGTGTCAAGGCCCCAACACGTTAGCAGTATACAAAATAGAGATTGTATTTTTTAAAAAAAAAACCCAAATTGCCCTTCTCCTTCTTCCCGAGACATAGCCCAAAAGCATAGAAAGTCACGTCATCCTTCTCTCTCCCCCCCCCCTCTCTCTCTCCTGCTAGCGTCAGTAGATTGGAGCTTGATATCTACGATTTCATGGAGAAATCTGAGAACCCGAGTGCGTTTTTGACGAGGGAGGAGCTGATTTCAGGCGGGAGGCTGGGTTTGGCCGAGGAGATTCTGAAAGAAGGGGACTAGCTCTCGTACGGATGGACGAAACCATGAGAAGAGAAGGAAGCCGTCGAGATCTCTGAGCAGTGGTCGAATGATGGTTTCTTGGAGGAGGATTCTTCGTCTTCCTCTTCTGGTGATCTGATATGAGTGAGTTCTTGAAAATTTTGTGTTTTTGAGATTTCTGGTTTTCTTGTTTCTTGAGCTCTTCTTTTGGTTGTTATTGTAAAGTGGGGAATGTGAGGTTGAAGTACAAGGTGAAGGACGTGGAGGGTATGATTGGGGAGTTGTTTGGACGAAGTGGAAGAAGATGAGGGAGAGGTGATCCATTTTGTTCTATGTTATTAGCCATTGTATTTACTAGTGTTTAGGGGTTAAACCCATTCAAGAATCTGTATAATGCTTGGTTAATTGCACATAAACCTCATGTGTTATAGAGGGCCTTGTCATTTGTTGTCCCTGAGCCATGCATTTCCTAGAGAACAAGCTGTTTGAACTAGTTCATGTTAGTTCTAAATCAATTCTTACGTATTTTGTATTTTGTATAAGATTACTTCTCCACAAAATATAATGAAAGCGAATGTTGTGTTCTTACGTGGCATAAGCTGGTCCGCCATAATAAAGATACCTACTAAATGCTTGTTTTAAATTCTCTACATGACCAGCTTTTAGTCATAGAGATGGTATAAAATAGAACTAACTTAGTATAAAATAGAACTAACGTGGTGTAATTTAGAACTAACGTGATATAAAATAGAACTAACGTGGTATAAATTAGAACTAACATGGTTAAAATTAGAACTAACTTGATATAAAATAGAACTAACGTGGCATAAAATAAAACTAACGTGGTATAAATTAGAACTAACGTGGTTAAAAGTAGAACTAACTTGGTATAAATTAGAATTAACTTGGTATAAATTAGAACAAACTTGGTTAAAATTTTAGAACTAACTTGTTATAAAATAGAACTAACTTGATATAAATTAGAACTAACTTGGTATAAATTAGAACTAACATGGTATAAAATAGAACTAACTTGGTATAAATTAGAACTAATGTGGTTTAAATTAGAACTAACTTGTTATAAAATAGAACTAACTTGGTATAAATGAGATATAACATGGTATAACTTAGGTTTATAACGTGGTTTAAATTAGAACTAACATAAATTAGATATAACGTGGTATAAATTAGATATAACGTGTAATAAAATAGAACTAACAAGCCATCACACGCTACAGAATAGAACTAACACTGTGCAGATTAGAACTAACACTCTACAGAATAGAACTAACACTGTGCAGATTAGAACTAACACTCTACAGAATAGAACTAACACTGTGCAGATTAGAACTAACACTCTACAGAATAGAACTAACACTGTGCAGATTAGAACTAACACTCTACAGAATAGAACTAACACTGTGCAGATTAGAACTAACACTCTACAGAACGGAACTAACACTGTGCAGAATAGAACTAACACTCTACAGAATAGAACTAACACTGTGCAGATTAGAACTAACACTCTACAGAATAGAACTAACACTGTGCAGATTAGAACTAACACTCTACAGAATAGAACTAACACTGTGCAGATTAGAACTAACACTCTACTATAAATTAGAACTAACTTGGTATAAATTAGAACTAACATGTTATAAAATAGAATTAATGTGGTATAAATTAGAATTAACGTGGTATAAATTAGAATTAACGTGGTATAAATTAGAATTAACGTGGTATAAATTAGAATTAACGTGGTATAAATTAGAATTAACGTGGTATAAATTAGAATTAACGTGGTATAAATTAGAATTAACGTGGTATAAATTAGAACTAACGTGGTTAAAATTAGAGCTAACTTGGTATAAAATAGAACTAACTTGGTATAAATTAGAACTAATGTGGTTTAAATTAGAACTAACTTGTTATAAAATAGAACTAACTTGATATAAATTAGAACTAACTTGGTATAAATTAGAACTAACATGGTATAAAATAGAACTAACTTGGTATAAATTAGAACAAACTTGGTTAAAATTTTAGAACTAACTTGTTATAAAATAGAACTAACTTGGTATAAATGAGATATAACATGGTATAAATTAGGTTTATAACGTGGTTTAAATTAGAACTAACATAAATTAGATATAACGTGGTATAAATTAGATATAACGTGTAATAAAATAGAACTAACAAGCCATCACACGCTACAGACTTGAACTAACACTGTGCAGAATAGAACTAACACTGTGCAGATTAGAACTAACACTCTACAGAATAGAACTAACACTGTGCAGATTAGAACTAACACTCTACAGAATAGAACTAACACTGTGCAGATTAGAACTAACACTCTACAGAATAGAACTAACACTGTGCAGATTAGAACTAACACTCTACAGAATAGAACTAACACTGTGCAGATTAGAACTAACACTCTACAGAATAGAACTAACACTGTGCAGATTAGAACTAACACTCTACAGAATAGAACTAACACTGTGCAGATTAGAAATAACACGCTACAGAATAGAACTAACACTGTGCAGATTAGAACTAACACTCTACAAAATAGAACTAACACTGTGCAGATTAGAACTAACACTCTATAGAATAGAACTAACACTGTGCAGATTAGAACTAACACTCTACAGAATAGAACTAACGTGGTATAAAATAGAACTAAAATGGTATAAATTAGATTTAACTTGTTATAAATTAGAACTAACGTGGTATAAATTAGAACTAATGTGGTATAAATTAGAACTAACGTGGTATAAAATAGAACTAACTTGGTATAAATTAGAACTAACGTGTTATAAAATAGAATTAACGTGGTATAAATTAGAATTAACGTGGTATAAATTAGAACTAACGTGGTTAAAATTACAAGTAACTTGGTATAAAATAGAACTAACTTGGTATAAATTAGAAATAACTTGGTATAAAATGAGATATAACGTGGTATAAATTAGGTTTATAACTTGGCATAAAATAGCTAACTTGATATAAATTAGAACTAACTTGGTATAAATTAGAACTAACGTGGTATAAAATAGAACTAACTTGGTATAAAATAGAACTAACGTGGTATAAATTAGAACTAACTTGGTATAAATTAGAACTAACATGGTATAAAATAGATAAATTAGAACTAATTTGTTATAAATTAGAACTAACGTGATATAAATTAGAACTAACTTGGTATAAAATAGAACTAACGTGGTATTTCAGTGACAAGGGGAAAAAAGAGAAATATTATGGATGATGTTGGCAGCTTCTTACAATAGAAGGCAAAATTCGTAAGCCAGCTTGATTTCAACTAGCAAAACTATGGCAAACATTAAAGAGCATATTTCAACCAGTAAAAGAAACTTTGCTTCCCAGAGGGGACTGAAATAAACTTATAATTCTTTTCAACATAATATATTAGCACTCAGAATGATTCATTGATGACTTAGCTTTCATTTCAAAGCTCGTGAAAGGAACCAAAACCAACAAACATAGAACTAATAAATCTGCATATATCAAATTTGAAATCTGCTCGTGATGTAAATGCATTGATGACATTTAGTTCTAATACACTGGAGTTGGAGCAGGTGGTCTCTGCAGACCATCATGATCGGAGCGGCGGCGATCGCGGGCTAGGCGGGTGGCGAGCTCCAGCTGCAAGCTCGGGTGGAGGAGAGGAGGAGAGGGAAACGCTGAACTTAAGGCGGAGAGTGGCAGCGACGAACTCCGGCGTAGTCGAGGGTGAGGCGGGGAGCAAGAGAGAGAGAGATGAGAGAGAGAGAGAGAGATGAGAGAGAGACATGGTTCTTGAATAGGAAAGGGGCGCAGTAAACGAGTACAGTCCCATCAAAGGGGTAAGTTCGTAACTTCCCATGGGCTTTTTTTTAAAAGTGATACTTTAGGGTCTCGTCACAAATACTGTAGGTATTTGGAGCTTATCCACATGGGGGAAAATACAAGGGGGCTGGTCACATGAAGTTTTTGCTTTTAGGGCATTGACACATTTTTCCCTTTTTTTTAAGAAGATAGATTAAAAACATTATCCTTTTGCCAGACGCCAGACGATAACGTGCGCTTTGTGTCCTTAAATATCCTATGGGCGTTGGCCCATTGGTTTGGAATTTGAGGCTGGATTTTATGACCAGCGGATATCATTTTATGATGAGTGTTTAAAGATTAGCCATCTTTTCTCGCTCACTTTTTTTCCTCATCTTTTGTGTGTTTGAACGTGACACTTACTTGTTTACATTTGTTGTCACGCTCAGTTAGGCATGGAAATGATTTAAGATTAATGCACAAGTTATGGATTGGGCCTAAAGGCCCATTAAATATCCATAACTTTAATCAAATACCTGAACGAGCATCATCGGTAACATTGATTATTTACCGTAATCGGGGATTAGGTGCCAGTTTCATATAATTGCGGTCGCCGTAGCTGCTGTCACACCTTTTTTTTTTTTTTTTTTTTTTTTTTTTTTTGGTTTAATCAGGTAACCCATTCATCTTCGTTCATGTCCACGACTCGAAGTTCGTTGCTACAATCCGAACAATTTTCGCTAGAAATCATTATTGGAATGTAGATTTCACTGAACAAGCGAACAAGGATAATTTGAAAAATACATCATCTTTAAATAGCTTTCAGCAACTAAAGAACCAAATCCAGATCACTGTTTGTGTACCTTTAATCGTTTACATCGCAATTGCTGAAAATGAATCGATAATCTCGTCACCATGTAAAAAGGGTATATACAACAAAAGAATTACAAACTTCAGAATTTATTCTGAAATATATATATATTGATCTTCTTCCCCTAAACCTATTTATCGGTTAGTCCAGTGTACACTTCTCATGAATACAAGTATCCCATCAAATGCTTCAGCATTCAAAGAATCCTCTTTCTCCAGGTTCGTTTAAAATCACTCGCCCGGAGAAAACCATCCAATGAAGAAAAACAAACTCTCGAGATGATAAGTAAATTGCCAGAAGCATACATAATGGCTTTTGTGCTTCTGATCTTTAGTACATAGGGTTAATTGCGGACAGACCCATGTAGTACTATTGTTGCAAATAGGCCCTCTGACTGAAACGTCTACTCTTTCACCCAGTGAAAGAGAAACTTGTCTTCTGACAAATAGACACCTGAGGGTAAAAGAGCCAAAAAAAATTCACTCAGGGGTTATATCTGCAGCAATAGAGCTACAGGAGTGTTTGTATGTAATTAGCCAATGGTATAGAGGGTATATCCACAGTTAACCCCAGTACAAAAATGACTTAAAAGTATCACTCTTTCTCAACCTGCGAATCTGGCAATAGCTAAGCTCACAGCAGTAAACAAAACATAGAGGCCAACAAGACAGAACCCCCAAAACCTAGGGACGCGAAACCTGAACCAAGTAACAACAAGAAGTGAACCCATCAAGCTCAACAAGAGGAACACAAAGGCAACCACAATGCCAACATGGAACCTGAGCTCATAAGCTCCAGGATAAGCTTTCGCAGTCTCTATCACCATCGCCGAGCCCAAACCAATCAGCATGTTAAACATGGGGCCAACAAAGCAACCGGCCATTGCCATTGCAGGCTGGCCCGCCTTTGCCAGTGCCACATCAGCAACAATATCGCCGACTGAATTCCCCCATGCTAAAACAGTGAGCCCGAGGATTGCAGGTGGGAGGTCTAGGATGGTCCCTACTGCTGCAAGACAATTGAGAAGCTCACCTGCCATTGTTGATATCCAAAAGACACTCATCACAAAGGCGACTAAGGTTGTAGCTGTATTTTTATTTTCGCTGTCTTTTTGTTGGGGTTCATTCTCGAAAAAGAAATGGGCTACTCCAAGACTAAAACTTATGAAGAGAACGACAGTCCAGAGAGGAAACTGAGAGTGTGGAAGGATGAAGACAATTTGGGTATCAACTGGGACAAAAGAACTAAGAGAATATAGTATCAAGAGAGGGCACAAGCAAATGTTGGCTGATGTGTAAAATCTGCTATATTCGGAAGGTGATACTGATGGGATGGTAAGCTTCAAGATGATTGTTACTGGAATTTCCCAAAGCCTTGAGATCTGTTGAGAAGTAGAAAAAAAATTAGAAGCAAGTCAAAACACTTTAACTTGACTTGTCCTGCACGACAACAGAATAAATAGAACAAGCGTAGAACACTATTTTCGATAGAAATGTGTATGAGATAAGAAAACTCTAGGTCAGATGGAGGGAAATTGGATGTCTATGCCAATTTAAACATGATCTATGCGATATAATGAGTAAACTCTGTACATCTAACTCTTCACTTACATGATAACCGCCTTATCAAGTACCTTATGCAAATATTATGCATATTTAGTTCCAATGTTCAAAAACAAGGTTTTATTACGCATGCCGTCCAAAAACGAGTAATGATTAATCAAGTTATGCGCCGATTAATTGGATCATACGGAATTATGCATTTTTGAATTTTTCTAACATATATTATTGTTCATCATATATTAAAATATATATAATTCATGAAAAATAGAAAATATACTGAGAAAAATACCAACAAATATGCAACTGAACAATCAATAACTAGTTAACTATTCAGAAATTTAATCCATAAATCAAAATTAATTAGGTAATCAATTAAAAGTCATTAAATTAAACACTTAAACTAAAGCTAAAAGTTCATAAACTCAAAAGAAATCATCGACCGCTCTAATGGGGAAATAGGCTTCGTTGGAGAGCTTCATGGAGTGTAGGATAGCTTCGTTGAGAGTTGGAGAATGTCCGAGATCATCAATGAGTGTCGACAATGGCAGGTGACGGTCGAAGAAGATGTTTCACCGACTCGCAAGTTGTGATTTTGGGAATGATCAGAGGAGAGAGAGGAGAGACCAGGTTTAAGGAGGAGTTTAGGACTAAGGGTGGAAGTGAACCGAATAATTATAAACAGTTCGATTATTATTCGTCCAGATATTCAATCAAGTTCGATTCGATCGTTCATTTATTACTAAACAAATAAGTTTTAATATTCGGCTTATAAATGAATAGAATTTAACCAAAGGTACATTCAATTCGGTTGATTATTAACTATTCGATAATTTTTTACATTTTAGTCTTATTAATTGAACTTATTGTAACCACTACCTATCTAAACCTTTATTTACAACTATTACCCCATATAAATACTACTTGATAGAATCCAGGGCTAACTTCTTTTCCCTTTTCGCCTCCAGACAGATCTCTCTCTCTCTCTCTCTCTCTCTCTCTCTCTCTCTCTCTCTCTTAAACCGATGTCTTCCCTCACCTCTCCGCTCTCTTCCCCTCACCGACGGATCGGCCACGCTCTCCGACCTCTTCCCCTCGCTGGCGGAACCCTCACGCTCTCTCTCAAGCTCCACTCTCTTCCCCCTCGCCGAATCGAGCGATTCAACGCACTTCAGTCCCCTCGACTTCACCATTGGTGTCGCCGTCAATCGCTTCCTCCTTAAACCCGATGAAACTCCACTGGCGTCGCCTCTACCTCTCCAACCTACGACCCCTTCATCAAAATGTAAGTTGAGGCTTAAAGTTACATTTTTTCTTGATTTTTAGGGACGAAAGGGCGAGATTTTGTAATGCAGTCTATTACCAATCATGATGAGTTACTTCTTGGGTTGTTATATTGAGTAGGATACTATATTTGTTCTCCTGGTAGTTTGTTACTTGCTAGAAATGATAAAAGGTAGGAATGCTACAAATGTAGTTAGGTCTTTAGTAATTTTTTGACCAAGAATAGATAGCACCTATTAATATCTCAACTAGGTAGGCCATAGGTAATCAAACTGACCTGCCCTGATGGATTTCCTAGTTCAATTTAGTCCCTGCAAAATTTTTCTTTTCCTTTCTAGTTATGGTTTGTCTATCTAGATCAGTATGTAAATGTAATTCTTCCTTCATGGAGAACCCAGTATACAAAATCACTTAATTATGCATTCTACTGCAGTCTTGAGATGAAATAAAGTTATAGGAGGAAATAATTTCCTTGTGTCAGTTTAAGTGCTTGGAGACAATAGGGAAGTAAATTGTTCACAAAGATTAACCTTGATTGCAGTAGCTTGTGCAGGAAATAAGTTTGATTATTTACATGCCCTCTGCAAATAAGCAATGATCTTTATTAAAAAAAAGTAGATGTCTGTTCAGCATACTTCTACATTCCAGCTAATCAATCCGCATACTATGTCAAGGACATATGTTTACTATTCAACATTTTTATACTCATTACTTATTGTAGTGTAGTTTATGGCTTGAGTGTTTGTTAGCTCTACCCTTGGTTATGAGACTTTGCAGAGTTGTACTGGTTAAGCCAGAAGCTCATGATTCATGATGCTAGTAATATGTAGACATTAAAAATAGTTCGCAATTTTAGAATTTTTATCATGATTTATATGTTAATTTTGGTCTTTTTAACTTGATTTTCAAAGTTAATATATTAATTACACTAATATGAATCCATATTAATAGACTTTTGGTAATTTTTATTGTTACAGAATGTCATCTCCCGTGATGAATCAACAGTGACTCTCAACCTACATCAATATCATCTTCTCCTGATCCTACTGCTGTTGTTGCTCCTCAAGTCATAGACACAACCTCTGACGGTACTACAAATATTGAGGGGAATACAAATCCTATTCAAGCAAAGAGAAAAAGAAAAAAGACTTCCGAGGTATGCGATAACTTTGTTGAATTCGTTCGCCTAATAAAGAAAAAAGGTGAAAATGTAACCATTGCTAGCATGACTTTGCTTATAATTCAACCGGAACAACATCACATCTGAAAGCATATTTAAACAATTGCATTGCTAAGAAGTTGAATGATCAAAGACAAAAAACTCTTAACTTTCAACGAGATGGCTCTACTATCGAGCATTCAATTATGTTTCCACCTAGTGGCAAGTATAACCATTTAAAAGTTAAGAGAGGTATTAGCTCATTGGGTCATGATGCATTAACATCCATTTACAATAATTGACGAAGGGTTTGTACTCGCAATGAAGACTATACAACCTCACTTTGATAAGATTGGACGGAAACAATTAAAAGATAATTGCATGACAGTCTTTGTTAGCAAGAAGAATAAGTTCAAGCAACAACTTAAAAGCATGGATAGAGTAAGTCTAACAACCAATCTTTGGAAGTCTAAAAACCAAAAAATCGAATATATGATCATTACTTGGCATTATGTTGATAACATCTGGGACCTACAAAAGACTGTCCTTAGTTTTGTACATGTGCCGCCTCCTCGTCGTGGTATTGATGTTGCTGATGCTATGCATAAATGTTTCAAAGATTGGGGAATATAAAATCAAGTGTTTACTATATTAGTGGATAACGCATCCTACAATGATGTTTGTTTAAGAAACTTGAAAATCATTCTTTCTAGAACTAGAAAATTGATTTGTGATGGCAAGTTGTTTCAAGTAAATGTTGTGCTCATATTCTTAATCTTCTTGTTTAAGATGGGATAAGTGTCACTGCACCAACAATTGAAAATGTGCGGGAAAGTGTCAAGTTCATCACTCATAGTGAAGCAAGACTTAGAACATTTTCAAGTGTTGTTCAACATGTACGCAAAATTAAAAATTTATTATAAGTGCTAAATTTCATACTTTTTCTATTGAAATACTAATAATTTGTTTATGTTTATGTTTCCAGTCGTTCTGGTGCATTTACTGTTATTGCTTCTATAAACATAGTGGCTAAATAATCCCACCGTGTTACATAATGCAAATATTGTATAATTGTTCCATTTTCAGCTATCGTCCGATTAATCATTAATCAATTTTTCAAAAAAGGTATATCAAACTCTGGAATGAATCATTTCATCACTGAATATTCGATTCTTCAACTTCTATTAGCATAGATCCATAATAACTCTGAATTTTGCATGTCTTGCATATTCTCAATGTGCCTACTCGTTAGAATTCAAGATATTTGATGTTGATCACTACCATGAAGTTTAAATATGCATTCCAAATGTACAAGGAAAGTGAGTCTAGTTATGATTGCATGTCAGAACCTGAAGATTGGTATAAAGTAGAGAAGATTTACAAATTATTGGTCGTCTTTAATTCAGTAACTAATCTAATTTTCAGTAGTGATTATCCTACTTCTAATTTATATCTTGTTGGAGTCAATAAGATTAAAGAAGTTATAAAGAAGTCGCTACTTGATAATGATTTTTGCATTCAACAAATGGCTAGTATAATGCAAGACAAATTTGAAAAATATTACGGTGAATGCAATTTATTGATGGTAGTAGCTTCTATTATGGATCCTAGATTGAAAATGCATGGGGTGCAATTTTGTTATTCAAAAATATATTCAGAAGTAGATACTTTGAGAAATATAGAAAAACTAAAAGAGGCCTTGAAGGAGCTATATGATGAGTACACGAGTATAAACTGTTTCCTATCTTTGACGGAAAGTTCCTGGAGGATATTACCCATAATATTCTTAAGGATAACCTGGCAGACTCCAAAGGATATACGAGTATAAATTATTTTCTACATTTGACGAGAAGTTCCTGAAGGATATTATTCATAATATTCTTAAGGATAACTCGGCAGACTCCAACGGGTATACGAGTATAAACTATTTCCTACCTTTGACGGAAAGTTTCTGAAGAATATTACTCATAATATTCTTAAGGATAACCCGACAGACTCCAACAAGTATACAAGTATAAACTGTTTCCTATATTTGACGGGAAATTTCTGGAGGATATTATCCATAATATTCTTAAGCATAACCCGACAAACTCCGACGAGTACACGAGTATAAATTGTTTCTCCTATACTCCGATAAGTATACGAGTATAAACTGTTCCCTACCTTTGACGGGAAGTTCCTGGAGGATATTACCTATAATATTCTTAAGGATAATCCGGCAAACTCCAATGAGTACAGGAATATAAATTGTTTCTTCTATACTCCAACAAATATACGAGTATAAATTGTTTCTTACCTTTGACGGGAAGTTCCTGGAGAATATTCTTAAGGATAATCTGGCAACCTCCAACTGATATACGAGGCTAAACTGTTTTCTACCTTTGACGAAAAGTTCCTAGAGAATATTACCCATAATATTCTTAAGGATAACCCGACAAACTCCGACGAGTATTCGAGTATAAACTGTTGCTCGTTTCCTCCAACCGATGCACGAGGCCAAATTGCTCCCTTTCCTCCAACCGGTGCACGAGGTGAAACTACCACTTTACTCCGACGAGTATACGAGTATAAACTGATGCTCCTTTCCTCCAACCGGTACACGAGGCTAAACTGCTCCCTTTCCTCCAATCGGTGCACGAGTTAAAACTACCCCTTTACTCCGACAAGTATACGAGTATAAACTGTTACTCCTTTCCTCCAACCGGTGCACGAGGCTAAACTACTCCCTTTCCTCCAACCGGTGCACGATGTGAAACTGCACCTTTACTCCGACAAGTATACGAGTATAAACTGCTACTCATTTCCTCCAACCGGTGCACGAGGCTAAACTGTTCCCTTTCCTTCAACCAGTGCACGAGGTAAAACTATTTCCTATCCTTCAATTGGTGCACGAGGCTAAACTGCTCATACCCTCCGACTGATATATGAGGTTAAACTGCTTCCTACGTTCTTAATCCAAACGCCTCAAATGGCTAGGGATAGAAGAGAAATCTTAGCATTAAGCCTAAGAAAAATTCCTCGATAATTTACCATGCTAAGGGCAAGAGCATGACTAGTCCGACTCAAACGACAGTTGGTAAAAACAAAGCAAGTCCAATGATAGCTGAGGGTTTGCTAAAAATCCTAATTGGCGATCGTTAGCAGCGACTGAATAATTTAACATCGTCGAGTTCGATTGGAAGGCGCCTCGCTCCGTCTGCACGGTGATCATTTTACAAGTCTTCATATCCAAAGTATTCCAAACACCATGCGACCTGATTCAGGTCTGAAAATTTTGAAGGGGGTCTTGTAGGCAATAAAAATTATCTTTATCTCTGCATAACAACTTGGAACAGGCAGAAGAGCTCAAGGGTCCATCTATGGTAAGGCAGGCTGACTCCCCTAGGGTCTAGCCGACTTAATCCTTATTCTAGCCGACTCCCTTATGGTCTTGCCGACTCAGACCTCTTGAAGTCGATTCGAATGTGGCCGAGACCCTGAGTCGAGACCCCTTTGTCGACTCGAAGGTCGGCCTTTGTCGACTTGACGACTCCCTTAGGGTCCAGCCGACTCAGTCCTCTTGAAGCCGACTCAAATGTGGCTAAGACTCCCTGTGTCGACTCGCCCTTACCTCAAAGACTTCGAGACGATACCTCAAGCCGAGACCTCTCGTGTCGACTCGAAGGGCAACCTTAGTCGATTCGAGAATCAAGAGACCCCGAGCCAAGACTCATTTGTCGACTCGAATGTCGGCCTTAGTCGACTCGAGATCCGAGACCCCGAGACCCCGAGTCGAGACCGTTTAGTCGACTCGAAGGGCGGGATTAGTCGACTCCCCTTTCCGGAGTTGACTCACCAAGAGCCCCTTCGCTTCGAAGACCAAATGGCCGAGACCTTTCATGTCGACTCGAAGGGCGGTGTCAGTCCGCCACACGAGACGACGCCCCTGTGTCGACACGAAGGGCAGTCTCAGTCGACCCGAAACAAAGCGAACCCATCCAGCTCGCCAGCACGAAGGCTCGAGCTTGTCTAAAGACTAAGCTCACCTACAGACCTAAGCGTCAGCTCGCCTGAACGCCTAGTCAAGCTCACTTGTCTGTTGCCCACTTGGAGTATGGGAAAAGTCACATCAAGGGTCACATCCCATAGCTAAAGAGCATGGCGCTCCTCACTTAGGCTAGGCATGGCCAGAACTCTCCTAATAGCCATTGATAGCTACAAGAATAGGGTAGCTAGCAGACTACAAGAATAGGGTGGCTGGCAGACTACAAGAATAGGACGGCTGACAGGACCTCCTAGATAGTCACATCCTACAGCTAGGGAGACAGTCTACTAGTGATCAAATCCCACAAATCAAGGGATGTCTCATGTCATCCCTTGCCTATTTAAGGCCACCTTCAGCCAACGTGAAAGGAATTGATTGGCTGCCTAGTTTTGGTTGGCTAATCATCCCACTTTCGAAGGTTAAACATTGGCTCATTTTGCTAAAGGCTTCCTTTGTTGAAGAAGACTCGTCTGAATTCTCAGACTTGAGACTCTCAAGCTCTTAGCAAACTCTTGCATAGAAGCTCTCTCCAAGCAGTCGGCTCTCCAAGCAGAGGCTTCTGTCGGCTGGTAGAACATTCTTAGCTGCAAGCTTAGATTGTTGAGATAAACTCGATCTAAACTTTCAGATTTGAGGTTAGCCCTATCTAAGCTTTCGGCATTGATATTTCTCAAGCTTGGATAATCGAACTCAACCACACCGAAGCTTCTACTGCGTACTAAAGCTCAACCGTAACTTCGATCGTACCGTCCAAGGGAAGCAAACTCGACACGAACACCGAGGAAGGCGTCCTATCGCTACCGAAGAACCCATATTAAACAAGAATGGTCATTCCCTTGTCCTCTGTTGTAAACATTGATCATTAGTTTGTAATAAGCCAATCTTATAAATACAAACGACCTCTCATCGGGAAGTCAATTTTTACACCCAACACTAGCCTGCTTGGCTGAGTGCAGGATAATATAGGTTCAGATCCTAGGTCATAGCTTGCCTGAAACATGATCAAATGAGTTCAGTTACGGGAGTCTGGCCTGGCTTATTTGACTCAACGAACGAGGATAAAAGCTAAATCAATTAATGGATATTAACAACTTCAGCAGTTTGTAAGACCCCTTAACAGGTTCTTTGTTTAAAGCTACAGTAGTTTCCTTAATATTAGACACACTCCTATGAATGATAATTGTCTCCATTTAATGCTGCCTATTGCTTAAAACCAACATTTTAGGCAATATGACAAAGATGTCAAACAACATATTGGACAATGCTTACAACATGTAAGGAGGTCATAATTCCAATTTTCAGACTCATTTACGGACATATGGTTTTGTGCATTCTTGAAGTGCAACTTTCATTGTGAATTTCAGCAAAACTAATGAGACAACTTTCGGTTAAGGATCACAATGTGATTCTTCTAGAAAAATTGGAGACAACTATTACAGCAGTCACTAGAAATAGAGTTGAAGAACTATATTGATGCTCCATCTTGGTCATGTCATAAACACCAAGAACATCGTCTACTGATGTGTATAGGTGATACACTGATACTTCAACAGTTCAACAACAATTTGGCATGCAAGAAACGACTAAGTGTCCAACGCCAATACGTCTTGTTCCTTGCATCACAGGTATACGAGCTGGCTTTCCTTCATACTAGCTAAAGCCCTTAAAGATAAACCATCTTCAACATATTCAATTATACATTAAATGCAAGGAAATTTTAGTTGTAAGATAAAGTTATATTTAATTTTATTTCCTTTTCTACATATGAAGGTCTACAAATTTTAATATAATCCAAACGAGCCTCGCATAGAATAAAAGGTCAACTAATTTAGCACTTATCCTATCGTAGAGAATATTATGTCCTTCTGCACTAATTCAAATAAGTCCTTAACATATCAGGATGCATAGAAGGTTTAATATAATTAAGAGTCTTAACTTCAAATTTAATTTAACCATTTCCTTTTTGTGAAATAGTCCAAATATAGAATCCGAACACAATTAAAATCATGAGAAAAGGGTGTTGCATGCTTAGGGATTAAGGTAATAAAAAGTTACAAGGGTTGAATTTTTTTTAACTTAACGCGCTGATGTAAAAGGTTGAATTTTTCATGTGTAGCAAGTGCAATTTTTATAATAAGATGAATGCAAGTATGGAAGTACTATTTCAAATATTTTTATATGTGTTCTTCTCTTATAACTCAAAAATGCTTAAGTAAAAGGTCAGACTTGTCTACAATTCAAAATCATTAACTATTCCCTCCCTCCCTCCCTCCCTCCCCTCTCTCTCTCTCTCTCTCTCTCTCTCTCTCTCTCTAGCTTAAATCTGCTGATGCAAAAGGTTGAATTTTTCTTATGTATATCATGTACATTTTTCTAACATTGATGCAAATGCCCATAAAAACATCGGGAACGTTGAGGAACTACTACGTACCTTTCCCATCATCCAAAACAAGCTCCACCGATCCCCAACCACTTCTCTACCATCTCCACCCTCAACCTCCGCCGCCGACTTCTCCACCAACCCCATCTCCACCTCCTCCACTTCCTCCTCCCTCCTCTTACAAGCATCCGTACTCCCCAAGTCCATCCAAAACAAAAACCACACAAAAAACACATACAACCCAACAAACCCCACCCCCTGCCACAAATACATCTCCCACTCAAATACACATAGAACATCACCAGCACCGCCACTAAATAACAAACATTCCGAATGAATAGAGGCAGATCCAAAGGGAAAGGCGTGGCGATGATCGAAACCGAATTTATGACGAAGGCGCCGGCGGAGAGGATGAGCAAGGTCGGTGCGGGGCTCGTCGCAGCGGAGGGTGGCGACGGAGGAGAAGAGGTCGGGGGCATCGTTGCCGAGGGCTAGGAGGGTGACAAGGCTGTTAGGGTTAGGGTTAGGGTTAGGGTTTGAGAGGAGGAAGAAGAGGACGATTGAGATGAGGAGAGGGGGGAGGAGGAGCTTCGAGCTCAAGAGCCCCATTTGATTCGATGAAGAGAGGGCAGTAAGTTTCAGTAGATGCGGACATTGACCAGAGCTTGTTTTTGGGGTGAACTTCAATTTGGGGTTGCTACTTTCTCTATAGGACAAATTTTCGATTTAAACTTATTTAATTTTTTTATTAAAAAATTCGACCCAATCCATTTTTTATTATCAAAACCGACCTATTTCGTGCCACGTCAGCAGCGTGGCCACGAAATGTATCGGGTTTTTTTAAATGACGCCGCTAAATAGTCGGGGTTGCCAACCCCGACTATTTAGTTATGTCGGGGTTTAGCTAAGGGCAAGCTAAATTAGTCGGGATTTCCAACCCCGACTAATTTAGGCCCCTCGCTAATTGGTCGGGGTTGGAAACCCCGACCATTTGGCAGAGAGGTAGGCGTTGTTTATTTTGCTATGACAAAATAATCGGGTTTGGGAACCCCGACCATTTTGTGGTCGTGCACAAAATGATCGGGTTTCCCAAACCTGACCATTTGGCAGACACTTTCAGCTGAAAATAGCTGGAAATTTAAACTCCTGCTGTTACATATCAATCCACAATTCAATCACAATTACAATAACACACATACCAATCAATAATCTCAAATAAAAAACCATAATCAATCGGATACATACCATGCAATTCACATACTAATAATCAATACTCAATCTAATACATAATATTATGTATTAGATCGAGTATTGATTATTAGTATGTGAATTGCATGGTATTTATTTGATTGATTATGGTTTTTTATTTGAGATTATTGATTGGTATGTGTGTTATTGTGATTGTGATTGAATTGTGGATTGATATGTAACAGCAGGAGTTTGAATTTCCAGCGGAGTTCGTATTTCCAGCTATTTTCAGCTGAAAGTGTCTGCCAAATGGTCGGGTTTGGGAAACCCGACCATTTTGTGCACGACCACAAAATGGTCGGGGTTCCCAAACCCGATCATTTTGTCGTAGCAAAATAAATAACGCCTACCTCTCTGCCAAATGGTCGGGGTTGCCAACCCCGACCAATTAGCGAGGGGCCTAAATTAGTCGGGGTTGAAAACCCCGACTATTTTAGCTTGCCCTTAGCTAAATAGTCGGGGTTGGCAACCCCGACTATTTAGCGGTGTCATTTAAAAAAAACCGACCCATTTCGTGGCCACGCTGCTAACGTGGCACGAAATGGGTCGGTTTTGATAATAAAAAGTGGATTGGGTCGAATTTTTTAATAAAAATTTTAAATGAGTTTAAATCGAAAATTTGTTCTTCCTTATAAGTTTTTTGTTATCTATAATATTTTTTTTTGTGCTTTTTGTAACTACGCTGGTTTTTACCGAAAGCCTTGTGCGAAAATAGAAAAAACAATAATTTGGTTACCTTTTAACATTTTGATGATGTAGTTGCAAAAACATAACGCTAAGAATTAGATTGCAATCGACTGCGGATAACAACACACGCTCTTGGCCTGTTCTAGTATAGCGTTTTACAGTTGTAATTTGATTTTAGCAGAAAATCTTTTGGAATGAAGTTCTTTTTTTTCTTTTTTTCTTTTTTTGAAAAAACAAGTAGAGTAACCTAACCAGTGAAGTCCTAAACAATACACACTAACCAGTCAAGTCCTCAACAATACACGCTATTGGCTTTTTTTTTTTTTTTTTTTTTTTTTATTTTATTTTATTGGCTTGTTCTTTTTCTTTTTTTATTGTAATTTGATTTTTGAGACAGAATGAAGTTCTTTTTGAAATCTCTTTGCCTGGATGAAAAATTGACATAAATTAGTCCGTCTGTATGAAGATGAGAGCATTTCATCCACAGCAGGAGGTTGCTTTGTTCTATTTGTTAAAACCAAACTACTAAATGGGTAAATAAGTTTCAAAGCGCAATACTAGAGGGGCCTGATGTGACGCGAAAGAAGGGATAATGCAATGGCCACGTACGAAGATAGGAAATCAGGGAACTGTGCAAATGTTATCGTTTGAATTAGACTCGTAGATTAACTTATTAACTAGAAACGCCATTCTTAAACATATTTTGAGGGGAGAGAAGACAAATGGTCTGAAATTTTGGCGCGATTTTGGCGAAATAATTTACGAAATTGGATCAATTTTGACGAAATAATTTATGAAATTTCACGTGACTTCAAGTCCTGTAAAGTTTAAGCGCGTTGTTATTTACAAAAATAAAGTGACTAAGAGGAAATTGAGACGGTAACTTCACGGTACTTGAAATCCCGTGAAGTTTACGGGTACAAAACTTCACGGGACTTCAAATCCCGTGAAGTTTTGAGCACCCCTAATCAAGCTCATTATCGAAACTTAAACTTTACGGGACTTGAAGTCTTTTAAAGTTTCCTAAAGTTTTTCCCCAAAATCGACCCAGTTTCAGCCAACTGGCTAAAACTAGATCGATTTTGACAAAATCGACCCAGCAAAATCAACCCAGTTTCAGCCAACTGGCTAAAACTGGATTGATTTTGACAATTAAATTAGAAGTATGTCGTTTTTGACAATTAAGTTTCTAAATGGATCGAATTTAAAAATTTGTCCTTAAATTTGACCAATTTGGAGCCAAAGTAACTTGTGGACAATATACAGTCAAAAACCACAATCATACAGAACATTTCCTCTTATAACTTACAAAAGCAAATTCCTACTAACTTGGCTAAAGCTTCACGTAATGTCAAATTCAATGCATAAAACAGTTACATCTCTCATCAAACCCGAAGCTTTTTCCCAGGCTGCACATCATTATCATCACCGCCATCATCACCACCATCGCCTCCTCTCTCACCCTTCTTCCTCGCGAGGATCTTGTTGATCTTATGAAGCTCATTATTGATCTTCTGATCTTTGTTCTGCTTCCTTGTCTTCCGCCCATCTTGCATTTTAACCCCAAATTGAAATGCTGCTTTAGGCATTGCCTCTTTCTGCTCGTTGTATGTAGCCCATTCTTCTTCTGTCTCAAAGTCCCATCGATGGAGACGACCCTTCGCCTAATGCAAGATATTGTGTTTGCAACAGAGATAATTTCAGGATCACAAAGGGACACAAATATCGTAAAAATTTCTCAGGATTAACAAAGGGATGGCAAATGAACTAAGGAAACTAAAAAAAAATTTCCAGTTTGGCCAAAAGCAGTAATAACTGGTCTCGGTTGGAATATTCAAAAGGAACAGGATTATCTGCACTTAAATACCCCAAAGGTTACTCCATTTTTAACTTTGATACCCAACGTTCTTTGCGGAAACAATAACCCAAAGTTTAGCTCATTTTTAACTTAGATAACCCCAAAGTTTTTTTTTTTCGCCCGAAAAATACCCCAAAGTTCAACAAACTTGAATTTTGATAGCCCAAACTTTCATAAAAATCAACTTCAACACCCAAACTTTAATGAAAATGTAACAAAAAGTTTAGGTTTAGGATATCAAATGCTAATTTTATGTTTGAACATCGAGGGCTTTTTTAGGGAGGGGGGGGGGGGGGGGACCATTGGGGTATCAGAGTTAGACATTGTTGACCTTTGGGTACCCTTTTTTTTTTGAGAGAGAGGGGTGGGGGGGGGGGGGGGGGGGGGGATAATACTTTCGGGTCTGTCAAAGTTAAAAATGAGCTAAACTTTGGGGTATTTAAGTGCAAATAACTAACAAGAGAATCCAGAAGCTGGAATAGTTGAGAAATCATAATGAGTCATACAACCAAAAGCTATCAGGATCATGAAATCATTTACTCATTTGAAGGGAAAATGAGGGGGGAAAGGCACAATCAACATGTTTCTTTTAGACAGGCTCAGAGAAATGTCAGGTTGTGAGCTAAATTGAAGGGTAAATTAGAAAAAGAAAAAGAACCCAGTGATTTGCATGAATGGTATAAAAATGTGACAGTTTACCTCCCACATTTCTGTTTTCTAGTAAATAATCATCAATTGTTTCAATGTAATCGTCAATTTCGATATATAATCACATAAATGTTTATAGTGACCTACAAACTTTGTTACCTGGGTACTTTCTATTTGGAAGCCATACCCGAACCCGACACGTACCCGCACCCGTTCCCAAATTTCTTGGACACTTCATGAATATATGCATATGTTTGTCCAAGAGTATACTCCATCACATTAACGTTCTAATTTAAAACACTCACTATACACTACTTGGATGTATATCCTACACTTCACATCTATTTCTAATATATTGATCTTATATAAATGAAAAAAAAATATTGATTTTATGTAAATTATTAATTTAAATACATATAATATACATAACATACATATTTATAGTTGTGTGCCCATACCCAACTTTTTACAAATTTGCCGTGTCTCGTACCCGTACCAGTAGTTGTACCCGTACCCATGCAACTTAGCCTACAAATAACTGTTATGTCCTATGACCACAAATTTTCCATCCAAGTTAATTTTGTAGAAATTGAAACAGACAGGTCAAAACTATTGCTTTTGAAAGCTTAGGAGTTCTCTGCTATCCTATGAACGATAAGAGTGAGTTTATCTAATTCACCAAATAATGAATAAACAAATGAATAAAAATATAAAGAACAAGAACTCGAAAGAATGACTATAACTAGGCATTACCCGACCACCCATGTCCATCTTTGACAAGTCATCTTCATCATCGCTGTCTACAACCTCACGATTATACTCCTGGTAACCAGGATAGCATTCTGAATAGCTTTCGGATATAAAATTTGGATCCTTCTCCCGAGCATCCTTTTCCCTCAATTGTTGAAGCCTCTGATCATCCCGTTTAAAAACAGAACCTAAGCCCCGATCTTTCTCTTCCTGAGTCATAAAACGAGGGTCTTGTAGAACATTTGTCCCTGCTGAAACATCGTATTCTTGAATGTTCTGTTGCATATATTGTTCTTGATAAGCCAATTGTTCAGCGTATTGATAGTCCTGCCATTCTCCTGGGTAGCCAGCAGCCACCACTTGACCTTGCATATCATACCCATTCTGCATAAATAAATATCGTGTCATATAATCTAGTTGAAATTCATAACAGCAAAAGAAAATGCTGATCTCCAAAAGCCACAGTAATCTTTATAAACAATAATCTAGTTCAGCAAAATATAAATTCTATAAGGGAAAATTTCACAAAACACCCCATTAACTTTGGAGTGTTTCCTACAACCCCCCCACCCCCACCCCTCAAAAAAAAAACAAGCACAAAAAAAACCAAAAAACACACACCTAAAAACTAAAAAAGCAAACAAGCAAGCAAACAAAAAAGAACTTTGCTTCTTCCGAACTCTGGGGTGTCTCACATAACAAGCCTAAACTTATCAGCTTTTCTCAACGAAACCCCTACAGGTAAATAACAAATAACTAAAATGTCCTTGAGAAGTGAAAAAAAATAAACCCCGCCCAGGGGATGGGCGGTCAGCTGCTTGTAAATGGCACATGATGAAGTTGGTAGTGTTTTCTCTTAAGAACATTTTACTTATTTGCCATTGACATGTAGGGGACCCGTTGGGAAAAGTTTTAAGGAGGGTACATGAGACACCGCAACGTTCAAGGAGGCTTAATGGAATAAGCAAACTTGGGGAGGTTTTCGTAGGAACACCCCAATACTCAGGGGGTTTTGTGAAATCTACCCCTTTACAGAAGAATCGGAAGAACTTGGTGATAATTATGGTATTTGGGTCAAACACTCAAAGGTCCATAGATAATTGACAGAGTGGCTGACATTATTGCAGATATATTTATAAAATTTCTCATGGCAGAACTGCATCATTAATTCAAGTAATACACATAATATTGTAAAGAACAACTCACTGTTTGTTCCCAAGTCTGAGCAGGTTCTGAAGGAGGGACAGGGCCATAAACAGGTTCATTGAAATAAGATTGCCTCTCTTTCCGTGGCGACTCTTCCATGTCCTCAGAAAGAGGAGGGCTCTCACTCATGTCCTTGTTAGGAACTGAATATTCAACACCTTCCCCTACAAATATGTCCTCTTCTTCAACCCTAGGAATGGGGGGAGGTTGATCTTGTTTTTCTTTTGGCTCGACCTTGTTCTTCCGGGGAGGCGGAGGCGGAATAATTTCTCTTTCTGGATGATGCTTTGTATTGATACCATTGGATTGAATGGGCTTTTCATCATCATACTCATTATTAACAGATACTTTTCCTGTACCACAAAACAACATTTTGAAATCAATGAAATTCCAAATGTACAATGCAAGCATAAAAAAGGTAAACTAGAAATAGTATGTAGTGGCTAATTTGATATCTGATCAGTTCGTCAATAAATGAGTCCTAAAAGCACAATAATGACATGCAGTTGTAGAACATCACCAAAGTTTACAATTTCCAAAACAAAATAAATTTGAATCACACTACATCTTAACCATGGGTTTCTCATTGAATAATAAGTAAATAACATGTTTAACAGCAATCCTCGAGCAATATATTCTTGAATAGGAGCCACTTACACCAGTGATAATATTATGAATTTTTGATATCAACACTACAATTCTTTCCTTGTATTTGGTGAAAGATCAGACAACAACAATGAGAGGTAAATTCAGCACTCAGTTCAAGCAAAGGACGTGACAATTCTGCTCGAGAATTTTACAAACAACATAAAGCAACAATATAACTCAAGAGTCAATTAATGGAACAGCCAACCAAGCATAATCAATGACATATTGTGTCAGTGTCAGGTCCCTAACTACTTTCTCAAAAGTCACTACAATAATGCTTCAGATGTCAATGCTCGCTCCTTACCTTACATGTGGGTTCTATCTGTCTTGGTTGCAGAAACCATTAAAACTTGTTTAAATATTGACGAAGAAGAGAACATAATCTCCAAAATTAAGAGAATAAGATCACAACCAGCTTGTTACAGTAAGATTTCAAGCAGAAAACCAATCTAATAGAACCTCATTTCAACCAAGAAAGTCTCCCAACACTTCCATCCTTGTTGATAAGGTCCATCTTTGAAATTCTGAAACAAAATCTAAAAACTATTTAAAAAGAAATTTTCGCTCAATTTCTATCCTTCCAATTGTTAAGTCCTATTAAGACACTTCATAAGTTCCCGAAACTAGTCCTTTCTACTGAGCACCATTTTCACATTTGTGCAACAAAAAAGTCAACAGTGTAGAACTTTGCAACCTTGGTCTGTACTTATCAAATGCCAATATCACTTCATAAATGTGAGATCTTGAACTTACAACAGTATAGTATCCATGTACAAATAACCAAACATAGTACTTCGTATTTTCTGGACTTTTTCTAATATTTGTGAAACTTAAGAGGCAATTTTTCCTAGGAAGGTTTTGTTGGAATTAGCCTTTCGGCCTACACAAAAGTTGTTCTTACGAATTTTAGAAATCCACATATATTTCAGAATTTTCCAATCAGTTTGAAAAATCGCCTATCTTAACGGGTCTATCCAAATTTAACCCAACCCAAACCTATAAATAAGTGTTAGATGATTAGAATCAGGTTTTCCTACAAGTTTTTGGCAGATCTAGGGTTTTCAAAAGAGGCTGCAACATTTGGGAGACCTAGATTGATTCTTGGAAGAAAAGTGCCAATCACCCAGGGCTCTAACCTATTCTTTGTGATTTATTCAATCTTTCTATTAAATCTTCATCCAAGATCAAAGACCATGTTTTGATCTATTATTCAGTTCGTTTTGGTGTTACTTTGAGGATTAAACATGTGTTTTTTATAGATATAAAATTACGATATGGTTCAAACCCCTATTTTTGTTAAGATGCTCGATCCAAGATTTTGTGTTTAATTTATGTTAATGCATATAAATACATGTTAGAAGGCTGGGAACACCGAAAACAACACAAACCACAAAGAAGATTGTGTCAGAATGAGCAGCAGTGCGATGGAACAATGACAAGGCGAACTAGGGTTCATCGGGCGGTCTACCAACCGAGCTAGCCAGCGGTCCAACAGACCAGAGTAACAACCAAGTGGACCAACTGGTCCCACAGACCATGACTGTGGGGATGGACTGACCCTACCGGCTGGTCTACCATGCAATTGTCTAGGTCGGCCCAACGAACCATTACATAATTTGGAGTTATATTTTAATGTGTTTCACGTCTTTAGTGGTTCTATTAGATGTTTAATGATCTCAAACACTACAAATGGCAACTATATGGCGATTATGTTAGAAAGTGACATTACGATGAGTATCTGGACATACATAGAACTCTTGTGACACCGATTTTCTGCTAATGATACGCTAGACGACATGATCATAGTAGTGTCCTGATCTGGTGACTAGGTCATAACCTGTACATGGTGACGACATACTTAACATTGGGATGTCAGGTATGTCCCACAATATGATAATGAAAGATATGATAACGATGTGAATGATTATTCAAATATGTAAGGGTCGTGCGATGTAAAGTTGGTGATGATGTGGTGAACTGGGAGTAATCCATGGACACCGGGACTAGAAAAGATGCACACCCAATTGTATGATACATGCATGGGATTTCAGTTTAATATTCGTAGTCTGCCGGATTCTCAGAGTAGAGGCACCGGAAATCAAGCTGGACAAATTTTTGAAATACACCAATTTCAAATTTTATTTAGCAAAATGGACAAATTAGTATTTGTTTAGCAAATCGACCAACTTTTAGTCACGTTAGCAGTGTGCGTTAAAGTTGGTTAGTTCTGAAAAATACAATTTTTGCGAAAATGGGATTGTCAATCTTGTGCAATTAGTAGCTATGGTTAATTACATGGGATAATGAATCCCACACTGTTAAAACAAATCCCAAACAACATGGGATCCGCAATCTCGTTTGTTCTCATGGTTGCAAGGACCTAGGTGACGTACAGTTAATAGTTGAACAGTGAGTTGAGTAATTAGTACACGAGTTTTTTAGCATCCATTTGACCTCACCAATCCTCAAAGGAGTAGTTTAATGGATGTAATACGTGTTGTCAGTTTGAGATGTGGATATGAGCCCCACTAAGCACCTTTGATCATGAAGTCGCACCTTGAAAGTCTCGAATGTTTCCTTCCTTGACTAGAAGCTATGCAAAGATTTAAAACGTGCTTAAGATTTTGTTGATCCTACATCGACATGGAAAAGAGTGGAGCAGTAATATATGGAAATAAATGACCCTAATATTTGAATACTATCTGACAAAAGCAAAGCACTTGAGTGTTGTTTTGAACTAGTTTAGACAAAGGGCGGATTACCAATCCCATGTTGCTTAAGCTAGGTAACTACATGGAGTTGTCAATCCCGTGTGATTAACCATAGTTACTAATTATGCAGGATTGGCAATCTCATAGTTTTCTGGAACAAAGGTTTTTAAAAATCAATCAACTTTAAGCGCAGTTGCAGAAGTGGTTGAAAGCTAATCGATTTTGCTCAACAAATAGCAAAGAGGACGATTTTGCTAAATTAAATGTTGGATTTGGTCAACTTCAAGAATTTATCCTTTAATCGACAATTTATGATTTATTAAATTAAACTATGAAATTAAAGAGATGCGTTTTATTTGGGTAAAAATTCATTTTATTTTTAAGAGTTTGATTTGTTAAAATCTTCTAAAATCACAATAATAACTTAACTCTTTCACAATAGTGATGTATAAGTCTATAACTTGGATATTTAGTTAAAACCCAATTCGGGACTCTTTAAGTCTCAAAATTAGTATAAAACTGAAGTAGAAAGTAAATTGGTCAAAAACAATACTCCAAGTTATAACAGATCAAATTTAAAATGAATATTGATAAT